CAAGGTCCCCTCGTATTGGGAAGGTACGCCAGGTAGGAAATGGATAATGGTCTTTTCCAGTCAACATGTTTCCTTCACTTTTCTTTTGTGTATCTTTAAATTTCAGATAGTGTTTTTCCAAGGGGTGGCTTCTGTCACTATAGAGCACTATCACCCTGCCCTGAGTCCCTGTCATGGTTTACTCAGGCACAGAGGATCTAAATTTTTTTTCTCAAGTCTTCTTCCAGTCTAGTGTCCGATTCTAATATTGGTGGCAGTCCAAAGGCTGGGCCATTCGATTTCTATCGTTCCTTCCGATTTCCAGCCCTATGGATGGGGGCCGGGGGGTGTCAGCCCCGCAAGAGGTCACTTATGAAGGGAGGGAGCGGGGGGGGGGGTCCATATTAGTGACCTTGATCAGAGCAGCTTGTTGGAGGCCTGGGATTGAAGGCAGAGGGGTCAAGAGGCGTGGACCCCTCTTTCTAGAACTTTGCTGGGAGAGAAAGAGAGAGAAGGGGCAGTTACTTAAGAAACAAGGTCAAGGGAAGGTAGTTCCAGCACAGTGAGACTTCAGCGAGTTTGTGGGCCGAGAAGAAAGAACAGGGTCTCCGTAGAAGTGAAGGACAAAGGCGGGAGGAAGGGGCGGTGTGAGGAGCAGGGCCAGCAGGAGGGAGGGTTTGGTCGGGTAGAAGCTGCAGAAAGTCAGGGGTTCACCAGGTGGCCTCCACCACATCTTGTGGGCTTCCCCCCCTTAATGTTCCTTTTTCGATCTGTATCATTTTTTGTTCTGGGCTTTGCTGTTACTATGTGAGTAACAGTTATTTTGCTGACCTCGGTCTGTTTTGCAATTCCTTAAGAGGGCGCAGTGGCCTAGCCACCTCCTCCTTCCTTCTTCCGCCCTCCTGCGGATTGTTTTCTTGTTCCCTCCTTGGCAGGGAGACTTTTGGGTTGTTCCTAGAGCCATTGCAGCCAGGCGTGACCCTCTGGGCGAGAGACGATTTGGACAGAAACAGGGGAATATTGGGAGATGTTTCTAACGCACAGCTCTGGCTTCTATGGGGCGTGGAGGAGGCGAGGCGAGGGCACCTTTGAAGAGAGGGAACCCAACTCCCTTTGGTTTTCCTGAGCGCGCTCCAGCTGAGACGCTCACCCTGAGCTCTGCCAGCTGGGCAGCCACTGCGGCCAGCATGGAGCCAGGAGGCCCATGAGGCCGGGGGGGGGGGGGGGTCTGGCTGGCTGTGGCTGTGGTTGGGCGGTTCTGCTCACACTTGGAGGGCATCGCTAAGGCCCCTGTTTTGCCCCAGCCCCTCCCCCTCCTCTGAGCTCAGACCTGGGCCGGGTGAGACTGGGCATGTACAGAAGCCCTCATGCCTTGCAGCTACCTGGTGATGCCTTTCATGCAGACGGACCTGCAGAAGATCATGGGCATGGAGTTCAGTGAGGACAAGATCCAGTACCTGGTGTATCAGATGCTTAAGGGTCTAAAGGTGGGGGGGGAGCTGGAGGGTGGTCGAGGGTGCGGGGAGGCCAGGCCTGTGGGGCGGACGGTTTCTGAGCTGAGGAGCCTGGTGTGAAGCAGCGCACGGGACCCACCATCTCTCTCTCCCCCACACAGTACATCCACTCGGCTGGGGTCATCCACAGGGTGAGTGCTGTGTCCGCTACGCTCCCGCCCACCCCGAGGGACTCTCCACAGCCGGGGAGGGGGGAGGGGAGGGAGGGCACGGTCCTCCCTCGGGGACGTGGGATGTGGGTTTTCAGGCCCAGTCTTGGCCTAGGAAGGCCAGGCAGCAGAGTGGCTGTGTTCTGGGGACCTTTGGGGGAAATGCCGCGAGCAAAGCCAGCCCGAGCCGGTGTTTCTGGAGCTGCCGGCCTCAGTGTACACATGAGGAGGCCGACGCCCTGCAGGGTGGGCGCTCGCTGGGCCTGGCGAGGGGACCAGCTCCCATCTGCCTCTCGCCTGGTGCTCGGTCTCTCCTCTCCTCTAGGACCTGAAGCCAGGCAACCTCGCTGTGAACGAGGACTGCGAGCTGAAGGTGAGTGGCCCAGGCAGGGCGGCTGGGGCTGGGGTGGGCCCCTCTCCCGCGGAAGCCCCCCAAAGCTGCTCCAAGAGCTCCCCTCCTCAGCGAGCTCCTTCCCCGTGTCCCCCGAGTCATAGATCTTGGATTTTGGGCTGGCGCGGCATGCCGACGCCGAGATGACTGGCTACGTGGTGACGCGCTGGTACCGGGCCCCCGAGGTGATCCTCAGCTGGATGCACTACAACCAGACTGGTCAGTGGTCAGCGGCCGGGGGGCCTGGGGCCGGGGGGCCTGGGGCTGGGGCCGGGGCCTCTCGCGGCTCCCCAAGGCCATGTTGGTGACTCTGGGCTGGCTGCCCGCGGGCCGTGGTCAGCGGTGCAGGTGACGCTCCCTCCCTCCCTGCAGTGGACATCTGGTCTGTGGGCTGCATCATGGCGGAGATGCTGACGGGGAAAACGCTGTTCAAGGGGAAGGATTGTATCCTTTGCTGGGAAGGTCAGCCTCCATCCAGGGGTCCATCCCTTCAACAGACACTTTCTTCCTTACGTCTGTTTTTCTTCCTGTGAAAGGGACACATGCTCACTGTAGAACAGTCTAAAGTGCAGTGGGAAAACGGTGAAAGGCAGCCCC